CTCTATCTAAATTTAGTTTTATTAAATAATTTACTTTTGTCCACTCTCTCTCTCTCTCTCGATATTTATCTTTGTCATTAGGAGAGAGGAAGGAACAGAGGGAGAGAGAGAGAGAGAAAGGAAGAGGAAAAGGAATTTACATTATTGATCATAAATTAACATAGTACTTTCAAACAGCATTTTCAAAAAAAAGCGACATGTGGCGTTTTCGTCCAGATCCATCTTTTCTATCTTCATCACCTTCCCTCCCTTTCTTGTCTCGTAATTTATTATCTAGTTTACTTTTCACCTTCTTTCAAGCCCCACCCAACTCTCTCTCTGTTATTTCTTTCTCTTCTTTTTTTTTTCTTGTTTTAGATAAGAATCAAAAGATTTATTCATGTTTAGCTACCTTAGGTTGACATCTGTCTCCTTCCTCATTCTCTCTCATCTTTTTCTCCAGCATCTAGTTGTAACTTCGAAGTGATATCAATCATATGGTAACCAAATTACTTTCGTTACACTTTGTTGCTACGATCAGTGAATTAACTTATTGTCATCTTCATCCATATTATCATATCATCAGCGTTATTGTTATCACTTATCGATCGGTCTTATGTCATCAATATTCTTATTAGCGTAACATTGTTTGTTCTAGCGTGTGTTGACAGTAGCATAAGCAAACGTTTGGAGGTTTATGAAATGTAAATATAGAGATAGGTAGATACTATACCATTACCAATGTATCTATTCATTGGAGACATTCATATTGAAGGATCCATTTGGGGAAGCATTCCTATTGACATTTATCACCCATTTAAATGTTTCCCTCGTAATTGTTGAGTTTTATGTCATTTTTCATTTGTAGTATAACTAACCAAAATGTCAACTTAAGTTCATTTTAAATTAAGCTTTTGTCGTCTGAACAAATGTAAAATGCGATAGCTTTGAGGTATAATAGAGATAGAAGATATTGCGGTTTTATGTGAAAACAATGCCGTACTGTATCGGACTGCTGATAATGCAGGATGATGATCGATTACATCGTCCATCTTCAGACATTGTTTCGTCTTTTTGCGATCAAAGATCATTCGTTCTATTGATGACAGAAACAATCGGGAACGGAAATAAAAATGGGAAAAAATATAATATTAAAAGGGAACTCTGGTTAGAAGGGCAAAAATGGTGATAAAAGCCAAAATGATAAAGAAAGATTTGGGGAATATGTGGCCAAGATGAAGAGTAAAGCTAAATGAAGAAAGCCTTAGCTTTACATCGATCATTAAAGGGAGAATGAAATTGTAAAAATATATTATCGAATAGAGAAAGAGATGTGGCAGAAGTAGCAGCATCTGGCAAAACCCCAGTAGATGAGAAAATTTTTCTTGGTTTGATGGAATGAACGGTACGGAGTGACATTTGATGCCGGTTTCCTCACTTTTCATTGGCGTCGCACGAGACCTTCCTTCTTGACATTTGAAACATACGATTTCCGTTCGCTCTCATTTGCTTTTATAAATTCTTGTCCTTCCTTTCTTCTATCTCTCTCTCTCTCTCTGTCTATCTCTCTCTCTCTCACATTCTTCTCCCCTCTTTTTCTAAATATATTAGTCTTTTGCTGCTTAAAAATTATCCTCAAAGCCTCTCTTAAAAGCTAAAGTTTGAATATGATATATCTGAAAAGAGATTTCTCTAATCGTTTAAATATTTTCAGTTTAATTTTAAAATTATAAAATATTTCTGATCGGAAGGAAAGCACGTATGAAAAGATGTAAATTCCACATTGACACAATTTTTCTATCATTCTACAATCGAAATAACTTAGGAAATCTTTTGAAATCTGTATTGGTTCAAAATAAGTTCTTCTAAGGATATAAATAATTCGGATAGATTTTACTTAATTTCTTCATCCATACTTTGGGAAAATGATAATAAGAGATAAAAATTAAATATAATATTGAGAATTAAATGCCAAATCGAAATTCAACAACTGTAAAAATAGGCTAAATTTTGCATTTAACAATTTCGCGCATTCAAATTCAATTTTTAGAAACAGTAAAAACTATTTTTTTCTGAAATTTAATAAATTGGATTTCTATTTCAAGAAAAGTTGTGTTAAGTTTAAAAATTTTGGAATTCAATTTTGACAGAAACAATTGAAAAATATAAATATGGAAGGAAATTGATCGTACAATGTTTCCTTCCCGTATTAATGATTGATATTTGATTTGAGGAATCAGTGATGAGATGAGTCAGGTTAGTTCTGTGATGATCAAACATTCAAACAGCGGAACGGTGTCGGAAAAAAAAAAAGCGCCGAACTTAGCATACAGTACAAAGTTCATTTCTGCAGGAAAATTAAATTTGTTTCATGGAAATTATTAGGAAGAAGAAAGTAAAAAAAGAACAAAAAACATTGATTAGTAGTAGTAAGATTGAATGTTGACAGGTAAGTTAGTTTCCTGTTGACAGGTAAGTTAGTTTCTTGATCTCTTAAAAGTTCATCTTAAGAAGTACAATGAACAGCAGACACATGATATCTTTATTTTTCCCAAACTTTTTTATCAATGATTGAGTGTTATCAGAATGTATCATTGAATTAGTCTCTTTGTTAATTTAGAAAAGAAACTTATGAATGAATAATGAAAATATGAGATATCAATATTCAGATTTCATGATGGATTTAGGAATGAGTTCAAAGAATATCAGAAATGTCTGATAGTGTTGCACGATGTGATAAGAATCGCTACACTTGAGAAGTTTCTTTTCCCATAAAATTAGCGTCAACTATAAAATTATGTGACATTAATATATCCGTGATTCAAACAATTTGATGACTTTCACAGATGTCACATCTAATCATTCTAATCAGTAATAGATATGATATCACTGAATAATGATATTAATAAGAATAATAGAGGAGGGAGGGGGACAGGGGGGAAAAAAAGGATCCCTCTATTTAAAGTTAAAAGAACAAAATGGGAAAAGGAGGGATGAAAAAAAACAATGTAAATCATTGGATCCAATCAGTTAGATGGTCAAATGCGCTGCTAATCATAGCTGAAATAGAGTTGTTAAAAGATAAATATTAAAAGCGCAAGAGTAAGCGCAAATGTTACACATACACATTGTCTATTGGAAAATTCATCAATTAATAGTAATTATCATTAGTTAATGAATATGATAGAAACATTGGCCGTAATATATTCCGTATAAAAACATTGGCCGTAATATATTCCGTCAAATTACATCATAAGTATGATAGCTATGAGGAAAGTAGTAAAGATGGTGAAAAGGAGAAGATTATCGGTTGTTTGATTAGTTGGGCGTTGTTGGTTGAATGAAAAGGAAAAAAAAAAAAAAAAAAAAAGAGGATTAAA